TTCGACTCCTATCAGCTCAGTATTCAACTTCTATAAGCTAAGCATTCAACTGCTATAAGCTAAGCATTTGACTGCCATCAGCTAAGCATTTGACTGCTATATGCTCAGCATTCGACTGCTATCAGCTAAGCATTCGACTGCTATAAGCTAAGCATTCAACTGCATGAAGTTAATATTTGGAAACTGCAGCGACCAAGGTGTTTGAGCTTGACAGATCAAATTATGTATTTTGTAAAACGGTGGCCTGATGATTAACCACAATTTTATTGAACAACAGTTACATTACGCTATGTCCGTTATGTCCAGTCAGTATAAAGATGCATTACATCAATGTTTTTAGAGCTTTTTATTCCATGTTCAGATGAAAACAAGGACTTGTATCTTGCACCTGTATCTTGAACATACATCAGGACCAATCACATTCAAACTTTTTTCACATCTTGGGCGACATATGCAAATTGTGTTTCATGATCAAATTCAAGATGGCCGATTGGTAGCTATATTGATTTAACGATTGTTCTATTTCTGACATGTCATTATCGCTCATGTTCAAACTTTATATATATATATATATCATATCACACATGTATTTATTTATTTAATGATATATGTTCAATATATTGAATGGCAACTATTTTAATGTCAACAACTCATCAACAAAGCATTTCCACATGTAGATCTCAGTCATGTATGGACCGATTTTTTTCAAGGCCATTTTAATTCAATGAATGCAGTTTTGGATCTATATCTCTAACATGTTCTACAGTTTATATATTTCTTAAACTTGTTAACTCGTGGGAATATGTAATTTAATTACCTGTACTTCTTATTACGTCCACTATACACAATTGCCAATTCCAACTACAACCTAAGATCATATTTTATTGCTATGACAACAAGTTTGCAGCTTGGAAGCCCCGATCAATAATCATATAGTTTAATAAAATCCCAGCGAACATTATTCTTTTTTAAGTTTTTTTTTTAAAAGCGACTACTCAATGTATTCATACTGAAGCATGCGTCGTTGTTGAACTCAGTGGTGGGAAGTTACTTATAAAGATTTATAGATCATATTAGATTTATTTATTTATCACCTAATATTTATGCTGTGAACTTTGAAAGTAATATTCATTTCTGAAAACTGTATAAGATGTGATGTGATTGATGCTTCAAAGCTTGATGAGCTTCCAGTCTCAAGAATCTAAAATATGGGTCTTTATAGTTTAGCTATTGCCAAAATCAATTGCTTTTTCCTCTTGTCCAGTTTTCTTTTCAAAGGTTGGAGAGTTTTGCATCTATTAGATTTAATCTGTAATGGTTTTAAACGATATTTCTAATTTTTGTTTGCTTAGATTCATTCAACTTTCATTTTGTTTCAACATTCTTACAGATACTTCAGTGTGTGCTATCAAATTTTAATAACATAACACAATAATAATATGTAAAAGTATAAAAGTATATAAATAGTACCCAGATTTTTTTTTGGGGGGGGGGGTAAAATTTTGAAATCTTCAAGATATTTTTTGTTCATAATCTAATGATGCATGATTTCTTTTTTTTAAGTTGATGTTATTTAAATGAACAGTTTATGGTATTTTTATAGCAATTCTTTAAGCAGAAAAACTCGCCTCATGATGACCTATTGTATAGATTCCATACCCTCAGGTCAGTTTAATTTATTTGTACATGTTTTTTTCAATGTGACAACTTTCCAGTGGTTTGTGCTTCTTTAGTAATGAAGTACTGTGTCATAGATATTGTTTTAAAGAAGTTTACTATCTTTCTAAAAAAAAAAAGAATAACTCCCTGACCAAATCAAAGTCTTTCCCTGTCAATGACTATGCATCCCGAGTGCATCCTCATTATGGCGGTACTTCATTACCCTAGGGCACAAATTATTGTAAGTGTGTTTCTCGCATATCATCTTAAAAGCGCAGCGCAGCGCAGCGCAGCACAGAGCATACTCAAATTTCATGTGAAAAAATAATTTCGAACAAACCGCAGTATGATACAATATGATGTTGCCTATAAATTATTCAATGCAGTCACTCAGCTGGATCCCATCATTTTAGAATACTTAAAGTTCTTGAAATCGTGTCGTTTATTTATATACTGAAAGTGAGCTCATGTACAGTAAGCAGTTTTTGTAAATTACAATCACGTCCTAGATCAACTGCCCTCTGTGGCCTTGTATTTTCAACCAAATAATCATATATGCATCTCAATATTTTAAATGTGCAAATCTCTTGAAAACATAATTGTTCATATTGTAAAGTTTAAGAGAGTTATTTTGAATTCCATTGTACAAAGTTTGCTTAAACTCTTTATTCTTGTTATTGTGATATCCCGATTATCTTTTGAGTCTATGGGGAGATTATTGAAAGTGCTTGGTGATTGGCCATTCAGTTCATAGGGGTCAGCCGTGCAAAGAATGTATCTTACAGATCAGATGTGATCTTGGACTGCACATGAGAATTGTAGGTTATTTATTGCAAGCAGATTAACCATGTATGGTGATTTCTTTGTGTAATTTCATGATATGTTTATTTTCGTAAGAATTTTGAAAGTTGTCCAGTAACTATATATCACACCATGAAAAGAAAAGTTCTTTAACAAGCAGCATATCAGTGGGTAAATAACTTGTGTACATACCAGTGATGTACAATTCGCTTTCACTGGCTGCTGTTCCGCATGTCAATAAATCGTATATAAATTTCAAGTTAAAAACAAGTTATTGTTGTCTGTCTGATTGACTAATTGCATTGGGTGTAGCATTCAGGGATGTCTTTGTGGAGAATGGAGAACATCTACGTAAAGTTGCTTACACTTTATACTAATATGTGAATTCTCGCTCCCAAAACAAGCTACATGTGAAATGTGCGCATGAACAATGTTTGTTAGGCTTATAAAAACAAAATGAAATGAAATATTAACTTAATAGAGATTTGTCATTATCACCCAACGATCTATTTTTATGACATGTGATATTTATCAAAACAACACTACCCCGGTAAATGTTCAATTTCTTGTCTGACCACATAAGCGCTCTGTACGAGGACGAATGGTTTGTCAAATTAGAATGCAGATGTACAAATACGGGGAAAGTACAAACTAATTTGTCACAACTTTATTTATATTTTTCACATTTACATGTTTGCATATGAACAAATCAACTAAACACATAGACGCGCACAAAGTTAAACATGTCTACTATATCATACTTTCAACTCGCCATCTTTCAATGCCAACTAAACCCTGCCAATTCTGAACACGTTCTTCATAGTAATATCAAGACTATGCGTGTTGCATTGAAATCAAGCTATGGTATAAACCTGACAAATATAACTATTCACGTGGAAATGGCGGCGATGAAAGCGACACAATATTGAATCAATAAAATAACTACACAAAAGTTTCCAAAACACTCATGGACGGAACATAAATTTTATATTGTCGATTTCTTGGGATTTGAACAATTGCAAATTCTCACTTTCGCTTGCATGGGAAGATTGAAGTCGTTCGTTTGGTTTGAAAGCGAATGGTTTTGCATATTCACTGTACCTTAAAGCTTTAGGAAATCATTGGTTACTGTATAATACTTTATTTTAGCTGGAATTAATTTTCAGTGAAAAAAACTTTTTGGGTGTATTGTATGGAATTTATTTTCACTGAATTTAAATGTAAAATATAGGAAAAAAGGAATATTCGCTGGATTTTATTTTCACTGAATCATTCCTTCAGCCAAAATAGCGAAAATTAATTCCAAGCGAAAATAAAGTATTTTACAATAGTTTTTAAGACATAATGAGAATTCGTGCATTTAAAGCCTGTTAGTTTTACTCAGTTTAAGTATTGCCCTAGTAATACATTGTACTAGTAAATTCTTAGCCTCCTATTTGGAGCTTTATATTCAGACAGCGCCATCAAGCGACAAGAATACGTTCGTTTTTTCTTTTGTTTTTACATTTCAGGAGCACAGTATACTTAAAACTATAAACGTAGAATAATGCTGGTACCGCGATGCAAAAATAGTTAATGGAATTAACGTCGTGCCATCATAGAAGTAAGCAGATTGTTTATCTCTATGGCGGGACAGACGCGCAATACAAGAAAAAATAGCGAACACAGTGTTGCATACTACGCCGGGTTTTTAAGGTGCCAAGTCTGCAATGGAGTGTATTGCAGCGTACTGAGTTTTACGAGGATTCAGTCCAGTGCTGTTTTCTTCGTAACTGTGATAAAATTTCAAGAAGCTTGTAGCGTCTTCGTAGCCATGGACATAATATGCCTCGAGATTGCCCTGTGGGGGCGCAAACAATCCATCACCTACACGGAACATGTGTAGAGGGCTGATGTCGAATCGTTGACCGGAGGTGTCAACCCATCCAACAGCTATCTTATCTCGCATTTTAGCATGGTTCTTGGGATTAGGGTGAATCCTGATGAGTTTTCCTGGTGGGAATGGAAACTGTACCTCTTCTGGGAGATTTGCTCGGTGTGAGAGGCTCCCGTCTACCATGTACTGAAAGATAAAACAAACACCTTGCTTGTGATTTGATTTCCACACCTTCCCAATAAATTTCGCCCTCTAGTGTTGTCGTCCGTGGCTTTATGGACAGTCGACCACAATATCAACTTACGCCACAGAGGCACTTCTCCTCCCGTGGATGGTGCCAGTTACATGAAAAATATGTTGGATCTAATCACACATGCAATTGTCATCACAATATCCAAACTCAGAGTGCTGTTCTTCTTGGGAAGTTAGCGTAAATACCGTTTCTCACCGACTCACCACAGTCAACTCTTCTGCACAAGCCAGCATGTTGTATAAACTCTGGATGTATTTAGGCCATGACAAAATTGATCAATTTTCTTAATTTGCCATCTCATTTATCGGTGGAAAGTGTGCGTTTCGTGAACACTGTAACAAGTATTTTAATGCATAGTCACTCTTGACTTCTCGGTGACAATATTCTATTTCAAGAATAACTTTATTGTACTTGGTAAGTTTATTTAACTGAGAACAAGGACAACTACAGCCTTGGGTTTTCCGTGAACGTGACTGGTAAATTTAAAAACGTAATGGTGTACGAGAAATAGTATACTTTTAAAATGTGGTATTCACGTTTCCTCTTGAAATATTACAAGAATAAGAAAAAAAAACCCTACTCTGCCGTTGATTGCCGGTGGTTGCCACCCTTCGAACCATGGAACGTAAATGCACCCCAACAAAGTCTGCAAAAATTAAAAAAAAACATGATTTGTTTGCCCATTCTCACATTCTATGGAATACCTTGCATCCAAAAATAGTGTACTCAATGAATTCGAATCACGTGAATAACTTGCAATCTGATTTGGAAATTACTTTGGCTTACCTCAATTAGTTCATTCTTGCTAGCATAATGCGATGCTATCATGCGTTCACCGAGTTGCCAATAATAAGGCCCCACTTGGAATCTCTTTGGACCTCTTGTAAATACACTAGAACTCGTACCCTGGTCGACGTCGTGTGTGGTCAGGGGAGCGTAAGGATCGACGGGGATCAGTTCACTAAAACAAAGAAAAAGCATACCACTGGCTTTCTCGTGGCAGTCCTCGGGTAATAATTCGGTTAGAACATTTCTAAGCGAAACTATCATATCGTATCCTTTGGATAGAGCTCCGCTGGGAAGTTGTGATATGTCTTCTGCCATTCTATGTACAGACCGTAGAAAATCCTTAGAAAAAGGGATTGAGAGAAATGCAAAATAGAACACGTCAATTGTACCTCAAGATCGGATAAATACTCCATGTGACAATAATAACATATTACGCGAAGGTGGCGTAACATTGACATAGCTATGAATAATATTGCCCCATCAAAATTGAAAAAAAACCCACATACCTGTAACCTATTAGGTGCTATTGCCATAATAGCGGCAATTAAAGACCCCGAAGATACCCCGCCATATGCTTGGACATCTTTTGAGACATCTCTGCCGTGGTCGAGGAGACATTGCGCTGACCCCGCGTTTAATGCTCCCATAAACGAGCTGCCGGTGAACGCAACATTGAACGGTGGCTTCAGGTATTCAGACATGGCGATGACCTGGAAGCAATACAGAGTGAGATCAATGATTGAGCAAGTAGTGAATTTATTTTCTTATTGGCTTATTATTACACATGCATCAACGCCCTGGAATCGAGGGAATCGATACGCGAACTCACAAATAAACAACCTATACAAGCATTATTATGCCGCCCACTAATTGAGCAGTTTCTATACAGACTTGACTATCATTGATATATATATATATATCCATTCATAGTCTGGTTTACCCTGTCCTCGCCATACATTCATACCCCCTGCACTGGGACACCCCTAATCCGCCCATTCGCTTCCTGAAATCAACCCGCCCTATTATTATTATTATTAATTTTATTATTATTATTATTATTATTATTATTATTATTATTATTATTATTATTATTATTATTATTATTATTATCAGTTACGACTAGTTGTCTGCGAATACTTCCCTTCAAGTTGTTCTCCAATAAGAATCACAGCTAACGGCATTCATTCATTCTTAAACCCAGGTAACAAAAACTAGCTGACATTTGGTTCAGCTTCTCACAATAGTTAAAAAACACATACTATAACAGCGCTGTTAGCTGCAGGTAGTGTGTATTGTTTGCCGTGTAGTAATATAATCAGTCCTCTTGTTTACCGAATACAATGTCTGTTTAACAAAACACGGGGAAAACAGACATCTTTTTTTTTCAAAGCTTGCGATTTTAATTTATTTTCTATCACGCAACAGTGAACAGGTTTGTATTAGTATTAATAACGGTAATTTATCTGTGCAACGGAATGGTGCTGCGATTACCGATAAAACGGCGCCAAACATGTCACTCTGTTTGTCTAACTCAAGGTGTTCAAAGGAAGCGTTTTTATCACAGTGAGACACGTTTCCCGAAGTAACCAACAAACATGGCTGCCAATATACCGTCAAGTCGATCGATTTGTTACTAAGATTAGAACAAAGAATCATTGTCCAAAGTTTTTTTTTTATTTGACGCAATGGGATTATTTTATATTGTACGTAAATTGGTGGTTGCCTCGACGCCTATCGGCTGTGCAAACACCGTGGGTAGTCAGTAGCCAGGTGTGCTCACAGTGTTGTGTAAATTAAGGCGTTAATGTGGCGTGCAATACCGTAACTGTGTTACCCAACCGAACAGACAGTCGTACTATCCCATATAACGGTAGAAATTGTGAGCGTGGGTGTGGTTTGTTTCATTCCACGTTCAAGCACAAAAACTGTCGGAATAAAAATATGCCGTAGGCTACTTACCTTATTACAAAACCACCCGTTGTTAAGGCTGGTCTGCTCTGATGCCGATATTGTCTTGCTCCGTGACCCTACTCGTAAAGCTTACACCGGTGACTAGTCGGTATCGCTAGTGTAGTATGTCACCAACAACAAACGATTTGCATATTAATAGACGGGTTGCTCAATGTAGAATACTAATTAGAGTTTCTCAGGTTGGGCCGATAACACAATTTCTAAGTATTCTGAAATATAGCTTGTATCAAATGGAAACATGTGAATGACTATTAAATCACAGAGTCTGTGTATGATTACTTTAAAATTGTTGGCGTGGAGGCTTTGACCTCGTCGTAATGCCCAGTTAGTTCTACCTTATTCATCGCACTTTTTATTTGCCGTGTTCTTAAAGGGAACACGCACAACGCTACTCCAACTTAACCACGGAGCCTGTGATGGCGAATCAAGCTGAGCGTTTTTGTTTTTGCGGGTAAAAATAGAAGCCAATGTTTAAAATCCGACCGCTGAAGTTCTTCTATGTACCTGCCATAAAATTAGACGATTTAGTGAGTCCGTTGTTACTAGGTGGGATAACAATAGCACCGTGATCACGTCCATCCATAAAACACCAGACAGGTCGTTATTAACATGTCACCAACATGACAGACACCTTTGAACCCGAGTGGTATTTTGCATACGCGATATTTTGTTGGATTCATTGTATATTTACCATATTTTAATATTTAAAAACTATTAAACGTTTTGGAATGTTGTCCCCATGTTGCAGGGGTCTCGTAAAACACGAATAGCGATCAAGTACAGTGTCACATGCATCGGGTAAATATACCGAGCATGTCCCGAGCTAGCGTGACTGATTAGCCAAGTGGACGGACAAGGCAGGCGAACGTGACGGTGTCAGGGGAACCTATGCGGACGTAAGTGACGTTTTGTTTTCGTACTTGGTCACAAACACGCACGCTTCTCAAGCGAGTATGTTGTACGTCCTTCTCCGTTTGAGTGGAATGGCTTTCAAGCCCCTCGAGTGGCGGGACTGGTGACAGGTAATCACGTGATTCTCTGCGTATTGTTTGGTTCACCTGCTGTCGTCTTTTTAAAGTTGTGACGTCACGTCCTTCCGTATTAATAGTGCGTCGATCGATTACATTGTTGAGAGCGCTTTTCTTCAAGTTGATATATTTTATTTACTATATAGTACAGTTTGATATGATTAATTGAAACTGAAATACGTGGTTTTTTGAAGATATTATTTTACTGAGTTGTACGACCCAATATATAAATATCACTTGTACGCAGGTAAACGTAGCGGGTCGATATCAATGTCGGTATGACAGAAAGTGGAATATAAGTCAAGCGTAACGTGCATGCTCAGTTTACCATGGTCTTCAGGCTAATGGCAGGAAACTCCCTTTATATTGAATAAAAGCTGGGATACGTCAAGAAAACGGCATCTTAATTTGCACGGGCGTTTTTTTTAATTTTTTTATTCAAAAATTATACTTACATTGAATGGTTTGTCGTGGTTAAAGAGAGAAACAGGGGGAAACAAATATACGATGTCTGTACTAATTCTCCAGCCGATGATCTGTACCCCTTATATAATGTCATTACAAATATTAATTAGATAATTATCTCATAACATTGTTATATAATTGTCTTTAAATAATTGTTATTATAAGTATATCTGGAGACGTGGTTTATCGATGCAGAAATCATGGCATAACGGTAAACACCAACTAGTCACTACGGTTCTCATACAGTCGCATGTTTATCATTTTATTTGAATGTCATTAGTATTGTTCGCATATATGATTCGTTCTTTATTATATTTATAATGTGAATAAGCTAACGAGTTAAATGGTGGTTTGTCTAGTTTTTTAAAATTAAAGAGCAGATGAATGCCACCACAGAGTTCAAAGGTCCAAGGCCCCCTCAAGCCAGTTCAACTACCCTGGTTCTGGCACTATTGAAAAATTTGACCCAACAATCCAAATCAAGAAGATCTTCTTCAAACATTTCGAACCACCATTTAAAGGCCAGTTGCGTTTGCGCCCACTCACAGAAAGCTTAGTCACTAGTGTTCTGATGATGTTCGATATACATGCACAATCATTCCAAAAAAGCTGTTTTTTTAAAATAGGTGGGATTCAGTCTTTACCTAAAGTTTGAAGCAAAGCTGTAGAGAAACCCATCAATACAAAAACAAAATATCATTTGTTTTATTGCCATGACTACAAAATGACTTATTTACAATTATGAATTGATACATGATATTGATATTAATATATGGTATATATTGATACGAAATCCAGAAACTGGAAGAAACTTGGTTGGCTGTAACACATTATTGCAAATTCAGTTTATATCTCATTACTTATACTGGGCGGATTACAAAGATTTCAGATTATTATAATATATAAACTTTTACAGTACAGCGAAAGGATATAAAAGTGACAAAAACGGGACACGGTTGAAATCAAAATTCCTTCATCTCTTTTCTATGTAGATTTCCGCGTTGCCATGGGAAAGATTCGACTTTGCGGCCAACTTGCTTACACGCGATCATTATATCGCTAGTGGGAGCTCAGTGACGTCACATACAACCCACCAATATGTGACGTCATTTGGTTTTACGGACCCTGACCTAGCGCCGAGTTTCTACACGATGGAGATCAAGGTTGAATTTCAAAGTAGATATACCCCTCCCCTCCCCTCTCTCCCGACAAACACACATGGTTCTTGGATTAAAAACATGTAATACCAGTAGGCGTTTTTTGGCAAAATTCTGTAAATCTTCCTCATTAGTAAATAGCACCCCCTATGGTGAACGTATCTTGATTGTGTTCAAAAAATCTGTACTTTTGCAAAAATTCTTTGGCGTCTTGTAGACCATCCATGTAATACTTCTCCAATTGTGGTTTTTTGGGCGGATAGAGGGCGTCCCCAACGCGGAACATGTTGTATGGCTTCATGTCGAAGTTCTCTCTGCTGACGTCACGCCAGAATGGCGTGATGTTGTCCTGAGGGCGCTGGTGCGTAGCTTGTTTGTTCGGTGCTATTGTAATCAGTCTACCAGGAGAGAACTTAAATTCTTCGATTGGTCTTGATGTCACCAGTGTCCCATCTGCCCAGAACTGAAACAAAGAATAACACAAAACAAATTTATTTCAATTATTCGTTATGTTTTTTTAAAACATTTAGCCGAAAAATTTTGTAAGAAGATATAATTTGAATAAGTTGAATATGCACGGATCATAATCGAATCAATTAAGTAAGCAATTCTCTCAATACCATAATTGTTTTATAGACGGCAGCCACAGATAAAACATTTCATTTTCCACTTTCTCGTTATAAAAGCGGTTCGTCGATAGAGGGCGCAATTTGTTGACAACGTGTGACAGTGTTCTCGTGTATATACGTACCTTTCCGTTTATTTGTGGCGGCGTCCAGTTCTCAAACCAAGGTATATAACTGCTTGCCAATATTGCCTGAAAGTATCATCAAGAATTGCTTTATTGCACGGTAATATACTGTGCTTGTTGAAAATGTTACGAGAAAATCAAGTAAGGCTGCCAGAATAATTACAAATGCGATAAATGCAATTAGTCACCAATTAGTCACTTTTCGAATATGTAAAATTTATTGGTCGTAACAGCTATCCCATATTTTCACTCGAGAATTTAATTCCATATTTAAAAAAAATACTTTCCCTAGGATTATTTATCTGTATTGCAAAGCCCATTCAAACTGCGTTAATGCATGTGCGTAAAGTTTATTGAACATCGGTTTTAGAAATGATCCCAAACATCGAGTCCATTATATTTATACGTAGTATAAAACAGCAAATTGTCAAAGTTGTCATCTGTGTTCGGCATAGGTTCACTCTTTGGACATTTAAAGACTGCTTAGTGTCACTGTTTTACTACAAAACCACCCTTTCCATCCCGTCCAGACTTGAGTTCCTGCCTAACTGTATTTGTGTGTTTAAACTCAGTATAACGTTAAAGGGCCGTAGTCGTCGCGCCACGCATGCGCGAGTTATATGGGTCTCATATAAACAAAGATGGCGACTTTGGCTGTTGCGCGGATCAACGAGTAAAAACTGAGACGTTAACAAGCTTTAATTATGTATTTTTAGGGGATTGGAAGGTATCGAAGAAGTCACCGGTGGTAATTAGTGCAAGTCGCGCTCAGGTCAAATTTCATACCTCTGATTTCCATTAGAAGAGCGCATTGGATTGGGAGAAAATCAATGTTTATCAACACAAATGTCGCACATGCGCAGCGCGAAGACTGCCACTCTTTAGAGTTAACATTATCACCTAATTTATAACTCAATCAAGCAGTTATACACGAATCTTGAAAAAAAAAACGTACCTCAATCAACTCTTCTCTACTTTCAAACTTAGTTATGATAGTTGGATTCCCGAGAGTCCAGAATTGTTCCCGAACTTCAAAGACTTTTGGTTTCTGTACTTGCGAACGAGGGTGAACCGTCTCTTCCACGGACGGCGGCTTGTATTCAACTGGTCTGACAGTTGGTACGAGTTCGGCGATCAGAAGCTGTAGTCTGTCTGTACACAATTGATGGGCGTCGCTTCGCAGCTCTCGATCGAGGATGGTACGCAGACTAGCAGTAAGGTCAAACCCGACTGTGAGGGCGCCCTGTGGGTGACTTTGGATTTCTTGCGTTAGTTTAAAGATATCATCCATGAGAACCTGAAATAAATAACAATTTACAGTTATGTGAACGTGCCATCTAAATGAAAATCGTTCAAGTCAGTAACTTTGTCCACCAGCTCAATGCGGGTTCCACAAAAACATTTTCTCAAATAAAATATGGAAATTTGCAACCTGTGACTTTGAAGCAAATATTATCATGTATAGAACTTTCTAGAAACGTTCCCACAATGCTTAGTACTTACGAGCAATTTTTCTGGAGACGTCAGCATCATGGCCGCCACGATGGCACCGACCGATGTACCGCCATAGCACTGTACTTTCTTCAACACATTCTTGGCATGGTCCAACAAACACTGGGCTGACCCGATATTGTAAATGCCAAGAAACGAAGTGCCAGAAAATACAACGTTGAACGTATCAGGCCCACTCATCGTAAAAACAAAATGAATATTTCACCTGTTTGAAAAAAAAAAAACACTACCGTTAGAAGCTGTTCACGACATTCCCGTTGTCTTGGAAACTAAGCACCCTTTGAACGCAGCGGAGAGTCGTATAAAGACGTGATCGACGTCAGCATATTGTGTGAACACTATGATAGCGCGATAATCGCTAAAAAACGTTCGTGAATCGATAACTCGTTTTATTCTTGTTTTTATCTCATTATTACTGTTTTACGACTACAAGATAAAACGTGCATATGTACTAAGAAATATAATAATAACAAAAATGTAAATAACGTTCAACTACATTTGTGGGGCTCTTCCATCTGAAAGCATTATGTTGTTTGCATTGACTTTTCCTTTAAAATCTGTTATCTGAACGTAAATCGTTTATGCCACATTAATCTTAGAAATGTCGGCATTAAATATCAATAACACCGAAATCGACGGCATTGACAGCTCTGTCCGGTAAACTATTATGTATGCTACGTCATGAAGTATAGCCAGGTGTGTTTTTGCAGCCTCAGATACACGGCGACAAGTTTGCAGAGTGCTCCCCGGTACATCGATCTACAAATACGAAGCTGAATGAATCTTGCCACTGCGCACAGCCTTACGCTGGTGTACGCGAGATAAAGGCGGTATTGTGTCCAGTGTTTCGACAGTGTATTCATAATAACAAAATGGCGGCTACTTAGGTAAACACAATAAAGGTAGCAAGAATGTGACCTAAAGTAAAAGGTGACTCCTTACATGACACTCACCGTAAAAAGCAGACAATGCGAAGAAAAAACAAATTATACCGATGACAATCAAACCTAAGATGGGACATTATCAAAAAACTCATCGTGTGCCGCCCGGGAATTTAACAAAACATGTTATCGAGACGAGATGATGCATCTAACATTAAATGCCCCTGCCACGCTTCCACAATGTGCATAACTTACGCAGATAAATTAGACGACTTAGGAAAACGTACAGACAGGATATCGGCCCAGGCATGAGTTGGGGGAAACGGCGTAATTTGAAATGCGTACTCGAAATCGAATTTCCTAGGTACGCACTGGCGGTCAATAACAGTGACAATGGCGTTTTATATTAGAAAGCTATTTCGGTCACAGGATGTGATTGTAATCAACTCCGTGTTCTGTAGGAATTTCAATACAGTATGAACCAAGGTTTACATGTTTGTTGCCGATATGATGCAGCGGCCATGATATTCGTCTGTCTTTGACGGAGTTATTGTATTTCCATTACTAATCAAATTATGAGAGCTACTAAACAAGATTGTATCCATGAAATTAATATTATTTTCCGAGTAGTAGTGTACAGTTATTGTAAAAAAATTAGTGATGATCACCTGGTTTTCGTCTATTAAAAAAGTCCAAAATTGTGATTCATATTTTCAAGTCGTTGACCCTACATTGCGGTTAGTAACGATTGAATTGCTTTGATTTAAAGTGCAGACTCTGTCCCAGCGTGCGTACGTGTCGAGACAGGGTTTCCGAATCAGCGACAGCGTTGCGGTTAAAAACACACACACAGCGGAGACAGATACATAATAAATCCATTTACTAACTAGTAACACTGACACGTACGCCGAATTTTTCAAAAAATTTAAACTGTGCGTGAAAATACGAGAGACTATTAAGTCGTGAAGTATGTTAACGTGTGTTTGCTGGCAGTCTTACCGTAACAGTCAATGCATAGGTCTGAAATAACGCGTTTATTGATTTATGGTATCAGCGCAACCTAACGATCTACCTGCTATGTAGGTTACGATAATACCCCCGAGCACCTGTTGTTTGGCAGCCGTACAACGCATTAACAACTTGCTCAAGTTTCAATATTTTGCACACAAAAATAACGTAAAACAATCGAATCCGCCATCGCAGTGTGCTGTACATTGCTTAGATGGTGTTTCTGTTCACACTCCACTGCACGCAGCCACAGAGGTGTCGATGACAGTGCTACTATTTGGGGTTTAGCGTTGCTCTAGTAACATTAACAATTTACCCAGAGACATTTTAATTTTTTTTTGTATATCTAAAATCATTACGGGTAAAAAACGCATGGAACACGTACGAAATGAGCTACTTGTTTGTAAGCCGATGATGATGGATACAATTTCTTAATTCGTATTGAAGTGAAAATTACATGATACATACCTGTGATCCGTGTTTACCTATCGAGTTTGACTGTGACCAACTATCGTCTCCGATGCCCGTTGTCAATGAAGTAAAAGGCCCTCTAGCTTACTGGAGATCAGTTACAACCTGTTGAACGGTGATGCGCGCGCACCATTCATTTAGTTCACGCAAACTACTGGGGTAATTGTTTTTGTTAGTTGAAATTTACACCTTCGAGTCGTTGAAATTAAAGGGGCAACTTTGCAATAGCTATTATTACCAATGAATAAGGTACTCGATAATCGTAATCGGAATAAAAGTTAAGTTGACTAGGGTCAACTTTTACGCTGTCTATTGTATGATTAGCTATAATTAGACAGACTGTAATGCACGCAATGATTTGTGTAAAAGTAATTAGATCAGTGATGCCGTACCGGCCGAATCAATGAAGCAAACAACACTAGTAACAAACCAAATACCAGCACTCATTTGTTACGAAGCCCAGTATTGTATAGACAAGGCCATAACGGCCGGGACACCTCGCTTGGTGGACATCCAATTTCCAAAAACGCTGCTTACTCATGTTATGTATCGTGACCCTCGCCAAAATGCCTCGGTGCAGGCTTCTAAACAAAACTGGAATGCACTATATAGGTTGGTAAAACACCATTGTTTGTCAGTTTCTCCTATAGTTCACACATAAATACAATATGATATACCGTGCGATGTGTCGTCAATCTGATTAAAATGTATTGTACGACGTATTTTTAAAAATGTATATTATTATTATTATTATTATTATTATTATTATTATTATTATTTGGAAAAAAGAAGGCCAGATTAGGAATTAATTTTAATCCGGATTGGACGTGTAGTGTTCGATTTCAATTCTATTGTTACGCACATATTATTTTGTATTATTCTAAATACCGTCACGTACCAACATTGAAAATTTAGACTCAATTAAATACTAAAGTGAAATAAAATAAATTTACATGAAAATAATAAAATACTAGCACATGGTAAGTATTTAAATATAAATAAATAATCAAATAAATTAATATAATATTATTTTTATCAGATTGACAAAATAAGTATTTTAATGTTTTCTAGTGAATACGCCGTTTTAAATATATACTTGTCTTGAAGTGTTATAATATTCATTTAACGCCACTTTAATGAAAATCTCCAAACGTACTGAATGATGTTCAACTGTATGTGCATGGACTGTACCCACACGAGAGAGACGGCACGAAGACGAAACAACCCCTGCATAGAGATATCATAATCGCATTGGACACCACACGTTGACGTAGAGCGACCGTTGCATGAGTGTAATTGTTGGTATACCAAAGTCAGTTTTTGTGAAATCCAGCTCTAACTTGAATCTGGTGATCCCTGTCACGGATCACCTGGTTATATGACACGTTACCAAATGCATGCATTTATTCAGTTAATTTTAATTTGTTTTGCCTGTGCCAGTACAACGTGTGTATGTGACGCCTTAATGTCATTGCCATGGTAACGTCAATTCAATCACTCATCAGGACTTGATACTCGTGAATACAAAAGTAACTCTGATGAGCCTCGCGGCCAATTACACACGACAATACAGCAATATAACTCAAAGAAAACGTTCATTACAGCGTCCTCAGTAGAACGTATACGTGACACTGGCAGCCATTGCATAGAGCGTTTAACTTAAATTCCATGCATACTTATTACATTATTTCCATACTTTCAACATTTATCGGAATATTATTAGACTAAATTTGTAGACACACACAATTAAAACACAGACACACAACGAATAGAATACATAAACATCCACCAAACAATCAAAACGTTTGACAGCTGTACCTGTACAAAAACAAACATGTAAATACAGGTCCCCCACTTTCATTCAAATTGAAATACGAATAAAAATAAGGGTTTTGTCGGAATACTACAGAAAGTTAGATTTAACTAGCAACCGATAGATGTGCACATTACATACTACATAACCTTAATTGAAAAAACAGTATTTCAAGATGAGGTAATGCCAATGGGAGTCGTTAATGCGTGTCAGCCCGATATAAAAGTTGTAGGAACTGGCTAGATTTATAATGTGGCAACAGGTTTTATACCACAGAACACTGGTGCCCGAAACATGATAATGAGACGCTGAAAGCATGATATTCTTAGAGATGGCAGTCAAAAAGTGTCGGTAATAACAAATGTGGTTTCAGTAGTCTCAATTACGCGAGTTGTTAAGACGGGTTGTCAATTCTACGATAACTACGATATCTCTGTTGATCGTTTCAACCCCGGATCTATTGCACACGGAGCCGATCTCGTTACTTCCTATACTTAATTGAGCTGAAATAGGTTGCGTGTTGAGTTGCTTCTCTCTAGAGTTGTTCCCCGACAGCAACACATTACAATTAGGGAGATTTTTCCACGGTTCTGACGTACTATACGACCAAAAGAAAGTATAACTTTTCCGTTACAATACTGTACTGTACAATATACAATTTACGCCCAAATAAAAGTTAAACTTACCAAGAAAGATTACCGTACAGAAGTCATATATGGTCAATGGATTCAAAAACAAAGTTCTTGACCAAACACCTTGTTATATAGGAAATCACAGCATGCTCAAATTGAAGCTCAAACTCAAAGTTTTGCCAAAGACAACTTTCCCGAATTTTGATTTATGTAACCATCCACAACATTATGTGATTGGCACGGGGGGGGGGGGGTCATGACATCTTATTACTTGTGTCCCTGAGTATATCCCCAGACAATTCATTTATACATGTGGATCTATTTGTACATTGAATTGTAATTTCATATATATATTTATTCAGTACCATTGGCCATAGGCCATAATGTACACACTTAAATGTAACACAAATAAATAAATAAATAGATCGTTTGACAAGAATAATCACTGCTACTGCTTGTCTGAATATTACAAACTTATGAATACCAAATTAAATTTATATTTCAGTTAAATTTCCTTCCAACAAACTATGACGTTTTTGTAAAGAGTAGAATACGTATTTTGCAAGATTTTGTATTGTGTGTGTATTTCAGATTGCAGTAGCAAAATAAATTTCTATTCAAGCGCTGGGCAATAGTAAAACTTGTGTATAAAACGAGTTCTAATTTCCTCAAATTTGGGACATTGTAATAGAAAGTGGAACTCGTTTTCAATGTGATTACAACCAAGAGGACACAATCTTTGGTCAAGTGGTATTCCCAATGCCCTACCCTTTTCAATCACGAGATCGTGAGCAGATATTCTAAAACAAGTGAGAGATTTTCTAAAAAAACTTATGGTGATAGAATCCAGATATTTTTCCCCGGCTAATATTTTTTAAAATTTAGAATAAGTGCATAATTTTGAACTATTACCAATCTGATCATGCCACTGTTGCTGGGAAATATCTAGACACCGTTGGTTAAACTGTAGCAGAAAACAATTTGGGTTATTCACATAC